TATTATACAACTTTAAACATATTTGCATTTTTAAATATACTTCATTTCAAATTTAATGTATCATAGGATTCCAAGAAATATATACTACAATAAACTCTAAAAAGGACCTAAGTCTTTGAATTTAGCTAGATCTCATATGATCTGTCTAATGTAAAATTAAGCATAATAGTCTATATAGCATTATTCTCATATATAATAATGGTATCTAACACAAAACATGCAAAATTAGTCTCATTTTCCTTCGTTTAATCATATAATGATTATTTGCAAAAACATTAACAGCATTTGCCCTTTTATTAAGAAATATAATCGTTTTCTGTTAAACTCAGAAGTGCCAGAAAGTTGTTGCAAATGCTTAAACTGATGTTTCAGTAGCGTTGACTCATTTTTCTCAGTGTACAGAAGTTATCTTCTGTCCGTAAAATTTCATTGATTTTATAACTGAAAGTGACATTGCTGCTCAATGCCTGGCTTCATTAAATAAGTCTGTTCTAAATATAGCTTTAAATCATATATTAATTCAGTAATCATTAATTCAATAATCTCTATAGAATCTAGCTAAATTGGAAGTTCTTACACTTGTAAAAAGTCATAGTCCTTGCCATGGAGAAGGTTACAATATCAACTGGGAAGCGGAAATTCAGATAACTAAATAATACTTTGAAGGAATATGAGTGCTATAAGAAATCAAATATGGTAAAATCCTTAATTTGACTAAACAGCTTATGGAGAATAAACAGTACTTTAACATGTAGTTGGGGGTAGTTGCATTGATTTTTAAACATAGTTAATAGGTTTGTTAATGTTAATTGTATTTGCATTTCCAAAATTTCACTGATATATTTACAGATATAATACCAAAGACAAAGAGAAAACTAAGCTAAATATGCCATAGGAAAACAACAATAACTGAGTTAATTTTTAGAATTCTATTTATGCTTTAGTTCACTCAAATCATTGTCAAGCAGTATTGTTTCTCTCAGAAGACCCACATTTAGCTGACAGTGCCCCCATGAAATATGTGATTAAAATTATCAGCCTCGATAACATTAGAGTTGTTAATCTATAGTCAGTTATTTCACTTATTATACAGAAGACTAGCATTACTAAATTGAGCCGTAATTCTTAAATCACAGTTCATTCAGGAAGATTTTAGTGCTTCCTTGTTTAACACAATGTTATAAATGATCCCTCACAAAGGATGTAAAAACCAACACATATCTTTAATGGGCTAATTGTGCTTCACTGCAGTGTTGAGTCTATAAAAGCTTTTTAACAGTGAAAGAAATCATGCATTTTCATCTTAATTTGCAAATATAATTGCCATTTAAATATCTTTCTGTTTCTAACTTAAGTGCTCTATTGACAGCAGAAATTTCCCCAAAACACTAATAGAGTATTTAACATAATTTTATTTATTGAAAGAAAATCCAAGGGAAAATAACATACAGCTATCTGAAACTATTTAGCAGAAGGAAAATATCAAAAGGAAAAAGTAAGTTAAATCTAAACTTTGAGATCTAAAATGTAACTAATATTCAATATAAATTTAACACAATGTATATTTGATTAAACTTATACATTTAAATATACTGATGAGATTCAAGAAATAAAAGTGATACCCTGGAAATCCAGGACAACAATTAAGAGCCATAGGAAAACAAATGAAACTAACAAGCTAATCCCTATTTCATAGAATTTTTCATCATTTTATTGAAAAATAAGAATACATTTTAGCTCAACTCATGGAAAATTAGTACAATTGAAATTAAATTCAATCAGTTGTAAATATTCCCTTGAGAAAATGATTTCAATTTCTACTCAGAGTTTAACCTCTGCCCTACGCAAAATTTTGAATTCCATTTTCTTACTTTTAATATACTCGATGTGGATTCAGGGTAGTGCAATTACCACTCATAACTTATTAAGCTTTATATTAATAATGTCAATAAAGTAGTCCATATACAAATACATGGAATATTTATCTCTCCCTAACTTTCACTTCTGTTTCTAAGCAGACATGAACATATGATGGATTGATTCTGAATTGACATATTTCACATTAAAATTTCCAGTCTTTAAGTCTTACTTTTTCTATGTAATAACATACATATTTATTTATAAATATTATGGATACTCAGCAAAGAAGTTTTTATATTAGATTTGAAAAAGATGTGATCATTCAGTGGTAGCTTTTCTTCTAAGCTAAAGTAGAAAATGCCAGAGACATTGCTTTTTAAAAATAAGCACTAAGAAAACTAATTAAACTAGTTAGCTACAAAGGGAACATTGTAGGAAGGGCAATAGCTTGGGATTGAACCCTATGAATTTATTGTTTTCACAGAAAATGTAATAACTCCTCATTGACATCAACTACCCAGTTGCAAGAAGAGTATACCTTCTGCTTTGTTGAGACACAGACGAAGCAATTAGTAAGAAGTAGTCATCAACCAAGAAGAGAATGAATAGGGAGTAAAATTTTTCCAGTTTAAATGTCTGTTGAGAGGCCCTGATCATTGAAAGGCACATTTAAAAAAAATATTTCGATAAAGAACATGCATTCAAAATAATCCATTGAAATCACTCTGTCAAAATCAGATTAATTGTCTCCATCTTTCAAATCGATAACCAAAAAATAAAAAATAAAAAACAGATAATGAAAAATACCACAACCAGTTTCATACAGTCTTAAGCATAGAACTAAATTAATTAATTGTTCTTCAAATAACATATTTTGACAGATAAGTTTATTATAAAGTCTGTAAAATAAAAATGCATGTTTGATAAAAAGTTAGTACAATTGTCATTCATACTGTGTCATATTTTAAAATATAAAAGTAAAGAATGGGATTATTTTTACTATTTGTAACATATTATAACTGACTATCTGGTTTGTAATTCTGATTATTATAATTATCATACTTTATTGCCATGCCAAAGCTAATTCTGTGACATATGTGAAATGAAGTATCATTAATTCAGCCTATTGCATGACTTGTGGTGTACCATGCATCTTTCAAGTCTCTTAAAGAAAATTTAATAGCAGGCCAAACTTCTAACCTACTAAGTACCATGAGCCACAAGAAACTGAAAAAATCATTTTAAACCAGGGATACATAGCTTATTGTGATTCATAACGGAACTAAAAAATAGGTAGCAGAAAAAAAGGGGAAAAAAAGCAGGGCTAGATATGTATATCATGTATGCAAAAGAAACTCAGATTTTTAAAAAGCAAGAAATAAAAATTGTTTTTTTTTAAATAATGCAGTCAATGAGTATATAATATAAACCCTACAAATATGATGGGGCAATTATTACTATTAAAAAGTAATAAAATTGGGCATGATTTGGCACTTCTAGAAACTTTATTGAATTTCAATATGTAAGGTGCCATCGGTTTTGGGATGCACTATTATTTTATAACATCAGTACACAGAAATGCTGTCGTTTATCATTAAAATATGCCCGATTGCAGAGATATTAAAGTGTAGAGAAACAAGCATCTTTGAACTGATGACACAAAGTAATGCTCCTAACTAATCAGGGATCAATTACTGGCAGTAGGAGATTACGTAGTATAATCTTTTTCCCAGAAAATTAAAATCTCCATTGCCTGATGCCTTCCTATAAAAGAACAACAACAAAAATTAACATCAATTACACTTAAAATGTATTATAAAAAAAGAAAAAGGGAAATATGTTGGTGAGTTCAACTCATAATAAACACACAAAAAAATTAGGAAAAGGAAGGCAGTGGGTAAACAGGTAAGTGCTTTAAAGTTGTCATTATCATCAATATTAAAGAAGAAACTACTTAACGCAATTTACACTTCACTTATCCCAACATTTTTAAATTTCTTGCATTTTTATCCATTGACTTTCGATTACAGCAACTAAACATTTGATCTGGAGTGAAAAACATTGATTCTAATTCTAAGTTTTTTGGTTTGCATAAATGATCCCGAACCCACTTGAGATATATATTTTAATTTATTACCGTATCAATAAATTTGATTGCTTTGCAGTTTTGATTGCCCTGTGTTTTTGGCACTCCTCAGCAATTTCTCAAAAATTTAATAAAAAAATTTTTGAAGTACCAGCCAATTTTCAAGAACCTCTGAAACATTGTGTATTCTTAGTGTGTGAAAGGTTACAGAGAGACTTAATATCTTATTAATGTTAAATGGTAGGATTGAAACCTTAACTTACAGCAATTTCTTTATGTAGGGTTACTTAGGCCAAAAGGAGACTTGACTGTTCTCCTGGAAAGGACATATGTTATCCAAATATTCTGAATATACGTTTTTTAGCGTTTTTTTTTTTTTTTGCAAATCCTCATTCAAATCAATTAAAGATCATGAAAAGAAGGTGGTAATGAGTTAATCCTCTCTTTATATCTAAAATCTTTTTATTGATATTACCAGCAATGAGTGTGCAGAAAAACAATTTAAAAAGATGATATACTAGTATGAGAGAGGAGAAAAAAGTGGTTAGTTGCCACATACAATGAAAGTGAAGTGGAGGAAAATTTAGTAAGTATTAAGCTAAGTGCTCCAAATATTGTTTACTTTAATCTCTTTGGTTTGATAAAATGGATGACTATAATTAAAAACAAATTTTTTTCAATATGCCTGATTTGTTCAAATAAGTCATGAAATTTATTTTTTTATTCTGTTTAATTTAAAGGACTTGGTTTAGCTCAAGTCTATCACTATCTCGATATTCAGACTGGTCCCCTCTTTAACTATGAAAATACACATTAAATTCCAAGTTCATATTTGTTTCATGTTTTACTTTCAAAGATTTGACATATTTTTTACATGTATTACAAATATGGGAGAGTGCATCAGGGAATTCCAATTAAAATTTCTTCCTGCAGACATTAAGGTATATGAAGCACTGAAGATTTATCCCATGGTAACATAATTGATAAATTGTATAACTAGTCTCATTTTTGTGATAAATGAACATTGCTCAACAAACACACATACCGCTTTTCATACCTTACCTGGAAAGAGGCTTTATTGAACATAACTGTAAAATTATCTTTTAGGTTGAATTACCGAATTTGCACAAACATTTCTACAGAATTTTTTTTTAAAAATCAAACTGTATCATTTTTCCACTACATTTTGTTGTGCTTTTTATATTAATATTTGTAAATGTTATAATTTAATACTTATATCCCAATTACTTGCATAATCAGTTTTTTTTTTAATCCTGGGGGGTTGAAAGAAAATATAATAATATTCTTCTTTAGACAAAAGTCCTTTTAAATGAAGTTAAAAGCTGAGATAATTTAAGGAAAAAAAAAATCTTCAAATTTTCATAACCAACAGGTTTAAGTGAAATTTACAATGCATTGGAAAACTGGCTGGTTAAAGTTATGATTTGTCCTCAGGTAGCTCAAAATCATTTTTACAGGTTTTTGTTTTTTTGTAAAAGTGTTTTTTAATATTTGAAAATAATAAAATAATATTTCACAATTTGCACAGAGTCTGACTAAAGGGCAGAGGCATATTACCCTCAGTGTTTAGAATAAAGCCAGATTTTCGGGCCCAGTTCCGCTGTAGAGTTTGTATGCACTGCAATCACAAATATTTTCTTTTTCCCTCTAAAGCTAGGGCCAATTTCATTTCAAATGGAGGTTAGAGTAAAAAAAAAAAAAATCACTCTCGTGTTTTACCACCTTCTGCGCTAAGTATTATCTTAACCTTTTGCTCTGGTTGACCCATTTAATAACCTGGAAGAAAAAAAAAGTGTTGCTCCCATGTCTGGTCTCAGTGGAAGTTATTTTCTAATGGACAATAAGCCGAAAGGCCATGGCTGTCCAGGAGGTCAAACGACAAATATCTCGTCTGCATGGGCTTACGCAGCAGCTTCGGTCCTTTCTTCTTCAGAAGCAGCTTTGTTGTCTTGCCTGTAATTTGCACATTTAGACTCTGTAGTTTGTTTATAAAATAGTTTTACACAAACCACTCTTAACAGTGCAAGCTTCTGAGTTGAAAATTATTCAGGCTTGTTTCATTGAAGGCACTTGGTTTCCATGGCAATTTATAAAAGATGGTGGTTTGGTTTCTTCATTGGAACAGATGACTTAGTTTGAGTGTTCAAGTGGCCGCGAGCAAACTCTGATAAGCCTGTGTATTATGTAAGCCCAGGTTTACCATCCTGGATAGTAGTGCATGCAAAAAGAGACAGCATACAGTCATCTAGCTTAGCCATGGGAGGAAAACGAATAAAAATAATAAAGGCTGGATAGGGATAAGGTGGAAGGAACATGAATGTTTTAAATAATTCTGAGTTCAGGTTCTTTTCAAGGAAGGGTAGCAACCAAAGGTAAAAGGGCCTACATTTATTTAATTCTCTACGTAAAACTTTCTCGAAAGGAAAATAAATGCCAGTTCTTCACGTACCCTGTTTACAGTGAGGTTTTTGTTGGCAGGCCATTAGATTTCCATGGTAACAAGCAAACTATTCATTTGAAACAAAACCAGCCATGACTTTGTGCTTTGACAAGAATTTCTATAGCTCTTTTTTTTTTTTTTTTTTCCAGAGTTCAACCAGATGACCAGATAACGCTGTAATCTTTTTAGCCACAAAAGCACCTGAAGGTCTCTTCTCTACTCAGGTCAAGATTATCTTTTATATATAGTTTGGAATAAGTTATACTTCCATGATGTCTTTTTATCCCCAGTGCTTAAAAAAATTTGTTTTTATTATTTTATTTTTGAGTCAGTAGTCAGTGGAGGAATCTTTGGTAGTTTGTTTTTTCAATGTCCATTTACAAAGACTCTTCATGCCAGTGCCTGGTATTTCTTTTATAGCCTCTGCCAGGATAAGGTCACCTCCGAGGACTTAGGATAGAGATGAGGACGATAACTGGAAAAAGCCATATATGTACTAAAATTCCAACAGCACCATCAACGGAATCTAAAGACAAGAAAAATAAATGCCAAGACAACAACAACAAAAAGGGAGAATAAATATTCCATGTAACTACTAATACGACTTTTGTGAACTCATAAAACAATTTTGTATATGGTAAACATTTTTGGAATTTTTAAATTTTATTTCATCAGATTCATTTTCAAGACAAGTGAAAGGACTATAACTTGAATATATGGTTAGGCATTTGATAAAATAAACATATTTGCAAACATAAGTTGATATAAAATGCTATAAAAACTTGTTCAGAATATATTTGTGTAGATTTGTGGCTTAGCTCAATCTCAGAGTTCTGCTTGCCACATGAAAGAATGCATACATAGAAAATTTTCAAAAATCCTAAAGGTCAGCTTTTTTTTTAAGCTTCCAGAAATGCTTAAGCTTAAAGATTGAAAGAAAAATTACTCTTGATGAAAACTAGGAAGAGATTGTTATGGGTAGAGAAATTACTATAAATAGTAGATTATATATGTTTAGATCAGTCCAATATCTATAAATTAAGTAAATAATTACTTAGTGTAATTTTTAGAAGCACTTTGAAGTCCATTCTAACTAAAATATCTCTTCTCCCAATCTGATTTGTACTTAGAAATTAACATTAACTTAATATTCCTCAAACACTACTCATCAAAATGAACTTATATGATAGTTAGATACGAATGTAACAGAATACTTTCTCATACCAGAGAATATTTTTGTTTAATTAGGATAATTTGTTTTCCCTGATTTATAGAGGCTAAACAAAAATTACTTCAATACATATAGATATATCTCATTTAAATAAACCACACATATTTCTGGATTTAGTAGTTTAAGAAAACTGATTATGAAAATATTCTATATTATTCTAAAGTGTAATAATAAAGTCACTATGGGTTTTCCTAGTTATTTTATAGACATAGTCATGGCTACTTTTACCACTCCACTTTCTCCTTTTGGGAGTAAATTATGTTCTCTTGCTTTCTTCATTTGGAAAGTTTAATTCAACTAACTGAATTTAATTTATAATATTTTTCAGTGATTAAATTATCAAAATATAAATTTTCTATATAAGATGCTGACTATCTTCAGATGATATAATGTTACTGTCATTGATTCATATTGTGAAATTCAATAGAAATCCCATTCCCCTCTGAGGAGGAAGCATGCTTTTTTTGTGCATTTGACAAATGTACCCTCATTTGAGTACAGCTACTGGTTTTCTAAAGCAAAATTAGCCAGACACAGGGAGAAATTTTTATAAATATGTTACTTGAAATGCCAAGTGTAATGACAAGAAGGTAAGACTATGAGCAAAATGGCTCATCGTTATGCACAATCTTAGTTTTTGTCTTTTTACAATGTTTAAAAATGGAGTCAGTTCAGTTCATTCGAGGACTCACTGGGTAACTGTACAAATTCAACTTTCAACATCTAGATTGATATAATTTCTCACTAAATATACTCAATGAAAACTCTGATTTGCTCTAGACATACAGAATGGATTTCTATGCTTATTTTGTATGTGTTAAATAATTTATGAGTTATTTTTATAAATTTAGTTTGATTGTTACCTCTTTATATGATCACAAAATTAAAAATTCCAGATAGTCCTATGAAAATCCTTAAATTGGAGGAATTTTTAATAGAAATGATTTTAAATTTTTCAACTTTAAGTGGATAATATAAAGTTAAGAATTTTAAGAAACATCTCAATACATAATTCTGATTCTTTTTACATTATGTATTTTTATTTATACCTCTTTTATTAAAAAATAGATTTGTGGTAAAAAATAAAATTTGAATATATCATTAAACTATAATATTCTAACCAGAGTAAAAAAAGTGAAACCAATAATAAACATTTGATTGTGGTGCAGGTAAAAGAGATTAATTATACCAGAAAAAAAATACACCATAATATAT